TATGATCAGAGATTATTTTTTTCAATGAAGGGTTTGTTAAATATAAAGATGATTCCAAAGACCAATAATACTCCATTCCTACTGATTTCAACTATAGTCAGATCTACTGTTCATTTTAAATATCACTTGGTTACTTCAGGAAAACATTTTATTCCATAACTATTTAAATGCCTATGAGTGTTTTACAATCCAAATTATGAACAGCTAAATTAAAACCTCACATGTACTCTAAATTAGTATGTCCTTTGTTTCCTTTTAAAATGTGTCAGATTTTCATAATTTATAGAAATTATCTTTTAGCTAAAATCCTATCTGTACATTATATGTAATTGCTACAGCATTGTAAATAAGATACTTGATTATCCATGAATGTGTTGTCAGAAACAGAAATGTAAATCAGATGTTGTATTCCATTGAATGTAGCTTTCACAATCTGTTTATACTTGGGTATTGTACAATATTATTTTAAGATTTATTACTTTTGTTTAAGCTCTGGAACCTTTGCTTAATGATGTAAAGATGTGTTTGATTATATAAAATTTACCTGTGGTCAGCAAGTAGCTGACAGGAAGTGGTAGGGAGGAGCCAGATGGAGAAGGGTTTTTAAGGAGGGGCGAGGACAAGCATGAGGGTTTCTGAAGGGATTAGGAGAGGAATGAGCTACTTACTATTCAGCCTCTCTGAAGTGCAGAATTCAATCTCAACCTTTGAATCTTGAGTTCTTCAGAGGGACAGAGATTTAGATAAATTCCCTTGGTAGCTTTGAAAGAAGTCTGTGCTTGAGGGAATAGAATTCCCTCAGGCTTTGGTTCTTGCTGCATAACCGCTGCAGATAGTTGCTGATTGGGACAGCTGTGGCTTAAAAGGCGGCAGCAACTTAAAAGGAGGACAACACTTGGGTAGTTTACTTTTAAGGCTTATTGAGAGAAGACTTGCCTTGAATTTCTGATCTTCTTGCTTCTACCTCCCAAATTCTGGAAATGTAGCTATGTGACACACTAAGAAAACATTGGCAAATTTTGGTAATACCTGTTTTTCAAGACATGATTTTTTTTTTTTTTTTTCTTTTTTTTCTTTGCAGCCCTGCTTGTCCTGGAACTCACTCTGTAGAACAGACTGGCCTCACACTCAGTGATCTGTCAGCCTACCTCTGTGTTCCAAGTGCTGGGATACAGGCAAGCACACAACTGCAGGCTGTAATGCTGTTATTAACTGGACCACTTTTGTTTATGTCTGTTATTAGGGCACATACTTTTTGTATTTTTGTAGAATGTTTTTTTTATTAAATTAAAAATATGTTGTTCATACACTGCATTTAATGCTAAATATTTTGTTGCCTAAATTTCTTAAATCTGAAAACTGGCAAAACAAAAATCAGAAAACAAAGCTGTAGTTTTGTTTTGTTTCCAAGACAGGATTTCTATGTGTAGTCCTGGCTGTCTTGAAACTCACATACCCCACACACTGGGATCTGCCTGCCTCTGCCTCCCTAACACTGGGATTAAAGTCATGTACCACCATGCCTGGTTAAAACTTTTAACTTTAAAAAATTAATGTATCAAGATGGTATCTCACTATAGTTAAGCTGGCTTCAAAATTATAACTCTTCTGCCTTAGTATTCCACAAGCTGGGACTATAGACTGTTCACCCTGCCTGGCTATATTTTAGGTAACACATATTACTTTTACAAATGGTTATATTTTGTCATTTTTTTCCATACATGTATGTAATGCATTTTGATCATATTGACACTCCAGTATCCTTTCTTTTCCCTCTCTCTCCAATCCTTTTACTTTTACTAACTAGTGATGGAGAGGACAGCCCAGTGAGTTTAAAAATGAGTATAGGTGAGAGGTTGCTTATAGGGTCATAAACTACTCATGAATATGCACAACTGAAGAAAATGTCTCTCCTCCAGCAACTATTAACTGACTATAAATCCTCAGGGAGGACGTGGCTAAACTTTAAAAACATCTGTGTGAACATTTAAGGGATTGGACATTCTAATTTAGTTAGAGTGCATGTGAGGTTTTAATTTAGCTGTTCATAATTTGGATTGTAAAATACTCATAGCCATTAAATAGTTATGGAATAAAATTTTGTTTTCCTAAAGTAATCTCCAAAACAAATATTATCTGTAATGGCTAATACAATGAGGTCTGTTGTGGAAACTTTGTTTATGATATAACAACTAAAGCTTGCCTGAAGATCAGAGTGCAAAGCTAGCCACACTAGTTAGCCACAGAGGTCAGGCAGTGGTGGCACACACCTTTAATCCTAGCAGCCACACTTGTTAGTATTAGAGCAGACAGAAGTGGTACACACCTTTAATCCCAGCATTCGGGAAGCAGAGGCAGACAGATCAATATGTTAGTTCAAGGCCACCCTGAGCAATACAAAATTCATCATTCTAAAAGAAAAACACAACTCACACAAAGGTGATCTCTGCACTTGGGACTCCATACCTTAATCCCAGCACTAGAGAGGAATATAAGGTGGTAGGGGACAGGAGCTCAGTGCAGTCTGAGATTTGGTAAAGACAGATGAAGGTTAGAGATGCAATTAGAGAACAGGATTGCCCTTTCTGTCTGACCATTGGTAGAGGTGAGAACTCTCCACTGACTGGCCGATTTGCTTCTCTAATCTTCAGCATTAACCCCAGTATCTGACTCTGAGTTGATATTATTAAGAACAATAGAATTTGTTTTGCCAGTCTGTAAATATTCAATATAGGTACCATTTTTTTCTCTCTAATATTTATTTGTGGTTGCCATTAGTAGACCAATCTAGCCTGGAAACCCCCTAATTTACTCTTTGCATATTGGAATTACTGGTATGTATCACCATGACAAGCCCAGACATATACATCTAAAAGACAATAGCCAGGTACACTATAATGCAGGTCAGTAATTCCAACTACTAAGGAGGATGAAGCAAGATAGTAACTTAAGCATAAGGGTTTAAGGCTCTTGCATGAAAGAACCATCTCCAATGAATGATGACCAAACGGACAGATGGGGTGACAGCTCTTAAAATAAATAGGTGTCAAGGAGGAAAATATCTGTCTGTAACACTCCCCCCATCAATTCAATTTTGTTATTACTTAACATCATAACATTATTTTAAAAGTCTAATGATAAAACTTACAGTAGTTTTACCTTGTATAATACATTTAATAACAAACCTCATCTAATAATAAAACACAGAAATATAGACTGGGCCTTCAGTTCAGTGTTAAGAGAGCTTATTTTGCATGCCAGAGGCCTTGAATTCAACTACCAGCATCAGAGGAAGAAAAATAAACAGATTTTAAACCTGGTGACCAATAAAGATTAAGCTATATCTTTCAACATGCTAAAAGTAAAATCCAAATATTGTTTATAACTCGAAAATCTGCAGCTAAACAAATTTAATTAAACACAATTTTTAAGTCTAGAATTCCACAATAATTTATAAAGATTTGGTAAAAATATAGAATCACATACATTTGGGGAAGATAAGTAAAATGCACAACCCCAAAAAGTAACTGTTCTTCAATAACATTCAAATCAGTATGACCATACAATGGTCATTTCTAAAACAAAACAATGCTCATGAAATGCCACAACTAGAAAGACCAATAATGGCAACACTTCCTTAATCACACTGTAATAAGGCCTACCTACAGAGGCTTCAGTTTGTGGTTTGAAAAGCCTAAATAAAGCCACTTATTAAACCAAAGTGTCATTCTTTCAATCAACAATCTCAGCAATAAACATAATCCTACTGACACTTTTATCACAAAACTACCTCATAAGATAAACACATCCAATTACTGGCTACCAGAGACCTCCAATATTTTCACATATAACCCTAACTATGCTAAACTAAATCACATTTATTATTTTGCTCACAATGAAGGACCAATCTCAAAACTAAATATTTGAAAGTATTTTGTATTTAACTTGAAAAAGGGTACAAACATAAGCTGAAGTCAACACTTGCTAAAATAACTGTACTTTAAAATTTCCCAAAGAGATATAAAATGTTATATGACCTCATTTTCAAACACAAAATAAAATCTGTACACATATTTCTAAAACTAGTTCATATCAACTCTACAAAAATATTCTTTCTCCATTTAAGATAACTTCCTTTATTTCCATTAAGATAATTCAGAGGGGTTATCCCTTAACTATACTGCCATTATATTCTTAAGAGAATCACAAATCGGGGACTCGAGAGATGGCTCAGTGGTTGAGAGCACTGGCTGCTCTTCCAAAGGACCAGGGCTCAATTCTCAGCACCCACATGGCAACTCTTAACTTTCTATAATTCCAGTTCCAGGAGATCTGACACCCTCACACAGACATGCAGACAGACCACCAATGTACATAAAAATGAAAAAGAACCACCAACCAAGTATGAATAATTCTATCAGGTTTGCTTTTAATTAATTAAAATTAATCAGCATTTATTGTAAGTAAAATAAGCAGAAAACAGGTAAATCAGAACAAAGGTTAGTATTTAGGCAAGATTTAGTATTTTGATTAAAAGGGCAAAATATTCACGAACAAATGATATATTTGGCCGCTAGAATAAATAAAACATTAGCATCACTGAAAGAAAAAGCCAATATTTAGAATTTAAATTATTCTATTATAAAAGACAAAAGCTGATGAGAAAAGTACTTACATGTGAATAATCTGTTAGTGATACATAGCAACAAACTATCATTGCTCAAGTCACCTCAAGATTTTGTAAGATGACCTGTTAACACATGCAAGAAATCACTCTCATGCTGTCAATCACGTTGTATTTAATTTTCAATTACAATGGTCAAAACCATATTTACAAATATGGCATTATTCTAGACCTACTCTTTGATTTAATATTCTATTGGTCAAAATTTTTCTGAATTTCAATGCTTCCATTTAGCTGTAAAAAACAATTTTATCTAAAAAGAACTTTTAAATTTTAATAAGTGTGCTACACAATCAGCAACAACAAATCCACTTACTTTTTTCTCTTTCTCATGATGTTTATCCTGAGAGTGAGAGGAAGAATCACTTAAACTTTGATCATATGACCTATTAGATCCCCGTTTGCTCTTTTTCTAAAAAAGAAAACATATACATATGTGTATATGTATATAAAATTCCACTTTTTATTAGGCTTAAACTATTTTCCATGTGAAATGTTTAAATGTCAAGTTTTTTTAATCAGTTATTTCAATTTATATAACAAAATTTAAATATCAGACTATATTACAAAGGAAAAAACTAACCCTATATTTAACATCAATGCCATATTTTTTTATATTTATTAAGATTTGTGAAAACAAGCCAGGCATACAGGCATACATCTTTAATTCCAGCACTTGGGAAGTAGAAGCAAGCAGATCTCTGTGAGTTCAAGGTTAGCATAGCCTACACAGAGAGAAGACATCCAAAAACATAGAGACCCTGCCCTGTCCCCTTCAAAAGTGTTAAAAATGTTCCTATTTTCAAATAAGTACTATATTTTCAAGGTTGACTAAAAAAAGAAAAGAAACGCCTTAACCAAAAGACAACATATTAAAGAATGCCACTGGGGATAGTGGCATACACCTGAAATCCCAGCACTTGGGACACTGGAGATAAATAGATGTCAAGACTGGAAGAATAGCAAAATAAATATTTAAAAGAGATACTTTATACCATTAGTAAAGCACAAAGCATTTACCTGAGGAAAACACTTCTTATCTCTACAGGACATTCAGAGCAAATTAAGACCAAGTATCAGTATTAGATCCATGCATTTTTAAAAGCATTACCTATTTCTGTTTTAAATGTAGCACTGCCTAATAGAGTATGAAGGTAAAAGTCATTTGGGTGGGTGCTTACAAGTTGGTCACACTCCAACTAATTAGTTTTAAACTGATTTTTCAAGTGACTATAAAATAACTTCAAGTTCTATGCAACTTATTAACTAGATGAATTTTCACAACATGCAAATAATATTACATCAATAATTAGTAATGAGAAAAACTATTTGTACAAATGTCAAAATTCTTTTTGGCTTTTTTTTTAATTTTGTTTTTGTTTTGTTTTGTTTATTGTTGTTTTGTTTTGTTTTGTTGTTTTTGAGATATGGTCCCAGGTTGGCCCTCAACAATATATAGCAGGAAGATTACTTTCAAAACTTTATTCTCCCACCTCCCAAGAACTGGGTGGGTGGGCTTACAAACATGCCACCACACCCAGCTTCAAACTTTTCAACTGAAGTCTAAATTTCTTATAAACAGTTCATTTCTATCAACCATTAAGATAAATCAATCTTTTGCAATGAGTGATACAGATATACACTTAAATACAGTCGTGTATCATCTGATGAGAAACACCATAACAAAGTTCTGTATTAGGTAATTTTGTGATTTCATCAGTAGAAGCCTGAAGGATGGTAAATAATAAATATTATTTAGAAGAGGAAGGTAGGAGCAAGCAGACCTATTCAGCAGGTAAAGGTAATTAAAAATAAGGCACTTAACAACAAAGGAAAAAAAAAAAACATTGATTGTATGAATCTACATATTTAAGAACTGAGAAACAGATATTTGGGAGTATTAAAAATACTTGTTTTTCAAAAGAAAACGGACATAAAATCCACAGTACATAAAATCCAAAGTTTCTAACTATGAGCTAGAAATATGGATCAGCAGTTAAAAAGAGCATTTGTTACTCTTGCAGAAGACCAGAGATCAGTTCCCAGCACCCACATTCCATAACTCCAATTCCAGAAGATTTGATACCCTCTTCTGACGTCTGTGGGAACCAGTGACATTTTGTAATGCATATACATACATTCAATCAAAACACCTTATAAACAAAAGAAAACAAAGGCTTCAAAAAGTTTCTAACTCAATCATCCATGTAAGTGTTTGACCACAAAGTTGGACTACATCTCACAACCTTCCAAGATGAGTCTTTAACCAAGTTACAAAATAGCCTCATTTCTGTTTTACTATTTCCTAGTTTAAAAAAAAAAAAAAAGGTTATGTTTAACAGGTAATCAGGATAACAGTTATGCAACAGGAAGAGAGGAAAAGTGACCCAAAAAAAAAAAAAAAAAAAAAAAATTCAAAGTGATTACTAACAAAGCAACATTAAAGAGTTCTCTAAAAGCTAATTTTTCCACGAAATGCTTATTTGCTATCAATTACTAGTATATACTATGATCTAGAATATTCTAATAAAGCAAAATATTTTAAAATTACTAATTTTTTCCATTTTCAATAAAGAACATGTTAAATTTGATCTTCAGTAAAAATCAAGGAAAAACTGACTATGCTCTCTCTTATTTTATGCCCTTTATATGATGGTGTCACCATCTTGTCAATATCAACTGCTAGTTATTTAGTACCAAATTGAAAACTGTTCTCACCAGCTTACTAAAGTGGTATTTACAGTATCCACAGTACTGGACGTTGTCTGCACCATTGCCTTCTTCTTCGCAAAGCAGCCCAGCAAACTGAGCACTGCAAACAAAAGCCAAGGACATCAATAAACCTCAAGCCATGATACATTTAAGCAAAGAAAATTAACTTTTTAGCATTTGTAAGACAAAATAAAGGAAAAAGAGGTTCTATAGGGGCAAGAGGTCTAGCTCCGTTAGGGAACCACCTGTTTATTTTCAGTATCTGCCTCCTAGTCATGCTGGAGCCCACGCTCGTCAACACGGAACAGAAAGGCTCTTTTGTAGTTGTGGTCAAGGTCATTTCATCTCCACTTGCAATTATCATTCTTTAAGACCATGTTATAGTTTATGACAAACTCTTCATCTCATGAATAAGGATATATCAAGGTTTTATGTCACCAAACAGTAATTAAATTGCTTTAAAAATTGCAATCAGGAAGTAGATAGAGTTGAGTTCAGAGTTTGAAACAAGCCTGGATAACAATGAGAGCCCACAAAAACACAGTAACAATGTTTCATTAAGACAAGTTCAAAAAATAAAGCAGTATTAGAAAAAAAACAAATACAAGTGATGAAAAAAGAGGGGGAGAGAAAAGTCTTTTTCTCTACATAATTAGTAGTTCTTACTTTTTAAAAAATGTGTTAATCCAAATAAGGGCCATGCCTCACTAGAAATCTGAAACAACAAAGCGGTAGCAAGTCCGCAGATGCAAACAATGTCCTTTCTTTTTGTGGGATGGTAGTGGGGTCTCTCATGCTTGGCAAGCACATTACTACTCAAATTACATCCCTATCCCTGTTTATTTGTTATTGTCTTTATTCATGTATTTACCACTGGGTACACCCTTGAACCACAGTGCATGTAGAGAGGCCAGAGAACAACTTGGGAGAGTTGGCTCTTTCCTTCCACCATGTGGGATCTAGACTTTAAACTCAGGTCATCAAGGTTGGCAGCAAGCACCTTTATTTCTGAACTATCTTGCCAGCTCTTACTTTTTTGCATTTTAGAAATAGTGTCTCGTGATGGGGAAACCCACAGAATCAGCTGACTGGAGCTAGTGAGGACAGGGCCTTACCCTCTCCGTGGAATAGAAAGGAGGAGGGGAAAGTGAAGGGAGTGGGAGGAAAAGCGGGTCGGGGAACTGAGATTGAAATGGAAAAAATGAGAGAGGGGGGGGGCTCTCATGAGGTTTTCCAAAATGGTTCTGAATTCACTATATGGTTCATGCAGGTCTTGAATTTGTAATGTTCCTGCCTCCACCTGAGTAGCAGGTATTACATGCTTGTACCACTAGACTGGCTTACACATCAACTTAAAGGAAAAAAAAATCTTTGCAATTCATACATGCTTCAAAAATCATAGCACAATAAGCAAGACCAACATAGACTATGTTTTCTGGTCAAAAGCAATAAAAGGGCTGCGGATGTAGCTGAGTAACAGGGTGCTTTTATGATATGTACAAAGTATGTTACAGTTATGAGGGGGAAGGATTTCCCAATGCAAGTTTTACAGCTCTGAAGGGAACGGTATCCTGGTGGTAGGGAGCCAAGGAATATCACAAAGTCACACCACTCAACAAAACTCACACAGAAGACTGATTGGAAGGGGAAAACCCGGAAGGGTGACTGTCTGTGCTGGGGTGAAAAGCAGCAGAAAACTGAACAGAAGTCAGGGTTTATATAGGGTTTCTTTTGGGGACAGAGCATTGTAAGGTAAAGCTAAAGTAGGTTTTCAAATCCTGAGCTTGAGCTTTTTATTCTGTTGAGCAGAGTGTGACCACCTGAAACTGAAGGGGCTGGGTCCAGATGGTGAGTGGGAGCCTTGTGTTGGAAGTCATCAGGGGTGGGGCCTGGCCACCCATGCCCACCTATGTGGGTACCAAACAAAAAACCTATTCCAGTAGGATGCACTGTAATAATACATGGGTAGGCAGTTATTTGATTTCATGGTGTTATGCCAATTCTATTTATGTACAATGATGGAAACATACTTACCAAGTTACATGGAAAGCCTGTCGACATCCATGTTTATTACATGTCATGCAAGCACCAGTGGCTGCTTTGCTTTCTCTTCCTTGTTCATCACATATATAGCAAGTCTTGGAATAAAAGGATAAAAACAAAAATCATAGACATGCTTTATATGAATCTGTACTTTACAGTTATCTTCAGAAATTAGTATCAAATTTAATATCTAGTCTTTCATAAAGAATGTTAAGTTCACAAAGGCATTACTGTCATTAGCATTTTCACTGGACTCAACACCCTGCCAGAAAAGAGGCCTCTTCAAGGGCACTGACATAAAGAGGCAGAATCTAGTCTTCTGTATCCTATAGGACTTAATGTTTAGGTTGCTTCAACTCTCCACATTACCAATTAAGCCCCAATAACATAACAAGCTGCAGTGGGAAGGAAACGTGTTAGCTTAGTAAATCAGAAATTCTTCTTTAAACCAACTCCAACAACTTTAACTGACAATTTGTTCACTTCCGATGATGAGTGATGATGATAGAAACTTAATTACAGAAATACTACTTTATGATGAGCAGTATATAGGTAAATAAAATTTAGCAGCCAACTAGTAAGTTGCTTATACAAAGAACAATGTCAAACTACTGTAATGCCAATAAGGGGGCTTTTTAAGAAACAGAGACCAGGAGTGATATAACACACACCCATAATCATCAGTAGTCAATAGAGGTAAAAAGAACCACAACCTCAAAGCTAGCCTAGATTACAATGCAAGATCCAGGCTATGAGTTTGATAAGACCCTGTCTCAAAAAAGTTGCCAGACAGTGGTGGCACATACTTTTAATCCTAGTACTTGGGAGGTAAAAGCAGGCAGATCTCTGAGTTCAAAGCCATCCTGGCCTACACAGAGAATTCTAGACAACCAGGGCTACAAAGAAACCCTGTCTTGAAAAAAAACAATAAATAATAAGTCTAGCAGTTCTTCTTGAGAGGACAATTATTTATTTGTGACAGGGTTTGGAGTTCATGAATAAATAAAGCCACTGTTAAAAATCTAACAAGAAGAATTCTACATTGTATCAAATCACATAATAGTGCACAAAGCCATCCAGCTGTGATTTGGTAATGGAAATTAAAAAGGGTAGGAGCAATAGCTCAACTGAAAAAGCAATTGCCACCCTAGCATGAGAATTTCAGTTCAAGCCCCAAAACCCAGGCAGCCAGCACAGCAAGCTCCAAACTAATAAAAGACCCTATCTAAAATACAAGATGTATAGCACCAGAGAAATAACACCTGAGGTTGACAACAACTAGCCTCTATACACACGTACATGCTTTTGTTTCTGTGTTTGTTTGTTTTTTTGTTCTGAGACAGGGTTTTCCTGTGTAGCTCTGGCTAGTCCAGAACTCACACTGTACACCAGGCTAGCCTTGAACTCAAGAGATCCACCTGCCTCTGCTCCTGAGTTCTGGGACTAAAGGCATGTGCCCACACCACCAGACTTCACACATATTTTTTAAAAGGTATAAGCACAATTGCCTAGTAGAACAGGCATTTCAAAGTTATAGCAGCAAGAAGATGGAGGGACAACTCAACAGAGTTAAGAAGACTAGCTGTTCTTCCAGAGGACCAACCATCAGTGCCCAGCCAGCCACCAACTCCAGTCCCAGGGGATACAAAACCTTCCCTGGCATCAATAGGCACTACACACACATGTGATACATACACCCTTATATATAAAATAATGAAATAAATTTTTTAAAAAAGTACAGAAACAAGCCAACTGTGGTCTATGCCTGAAGATCTGGAGTTTAAGACCAGCCTGGACTACTTTGTCTTTCAGGGCAATCGTGGCACACACCTTTAATCCCACCACTTGGGAAGGAAAGGCAGGTGAATCTGAATTTGAACCCAGTCAGGTCTAAAGAGCAAGTTTCAGGACAGACAGGACTAACAATATATGGACTTTTGCTGAGGACAAGATTTCTGCTTAAAGGAGACAGGTAGACAGATCTCTGTGTTCCAGGACCAGCCTGGTCTACTTATTGAGTTCCAGCAAAGCCAGGAATACATTGAGACAATGTTTCAAAAAAAAAAAAAAAAAAAAAAAAAAAAAGTGAGAAACAAACAAGTTATCATTAGAGAAAACATAATCCTGCCAGACAATGAAGGTAACAATAATATACCAGATTCACCTAAAATCTGTACTAAACAACTCTTGGAACTCCTTTCCCCCAAACACACACAGCAACAAAGAGGAATGCTCATTTCCAGGAGATAATTAGTATGTACTGGAGTCTAGGATAATAAGCCATAACTGCAGACTGCTAAACCTATGTGTTGTTCTTGGTTTAACAGGGTACCGTAACGAACCCAGAAACTGCTCAATAAGCCAAAGAATTATTTTCTGATCATAGAACCCAACAGAATCTTTCAGCTGAATTACAACTCTGCTTTATTATTATCTTAACGAACATACTTTTGTGTGCATATATCTATGAGAACATGTACATATATGCATGTGAAACCAGTTGACACTGGGTATTTCCCTTTACTGTTCTCCACCTTATTTTTTGAGAAAGTTTCTCACCTGGAGCTCACCAATTTGGCTAGACAGGCTGGCCCACAAACCCCAGCGATCTATCTTCCTGTCTCTGCCTTCCCAGTACTGGAATCACAAGCTACCATGTCCAGGTTTTTATGTGATTGCTGGAGACTCAAATTTTGGTTCCTCATGCTTGAACAGCAAGCATTTACCCACTGATCTGTCTCCCAGCCCTACAACCTTTCTTTAGACCAGTGACTTCCTATCCTTCCAATTTATCTATTTTGGAATAAAGATGTCTATACCACACCTGATGCTTTTTGTTTTACAGGTTCACAAATTGAAAAAAACAATGTGTATCAAGATATAAATTCCCTGATTTAAACAGAGAGGATTGAAGACTTTTTGAATTTATTATATTTAGGTAAAATATGGGGCTTAGAGTTGGTAACAAAATGGATTGAGTCTGGGTGATGTTGTGGTAAAAATTGATGTATTTTGTTTTTAAGAAAGAACATGCCTGGGAGGTGGTAGAGCACATCTTTGATTCTAGCTTGGGAGTAAAGGCAGGCAGATCAGATCTTCAAGGCCAAACTACACAGAGAACCACCACCCCCCGGGGGAAAAAAAAAAAAAATCAAGAAAGAACATGGAATTTGGGAAAGGTCAAAAAGCACACTGCTATACCCAAAAAAAAAAAAAAAATGTATGTATGGTGCTGGCTGGTTTTATGTCATCTTGTCATAAGCTAGAGTCATGTGAGAAAATCCTCCAGAAGAGCTGGCTTTAAGGTATTTTCTTAATTAGTGATGGAAGAAAGAGGGCCCAGACCATTGTCGGTGGGGCCATCCCCAGGCTGCTGGTGCTGGGTTCTCTGAGAAAACAGGCTGAGCAAACCCTGGTGAGTAAGAAAACAAGCAGTACTCCTCCATAGCCTGTGGATCAGCTCCTGCCTCCAGGTTCCTGGCTTAGCTTCCTTCAAGGCTTAGCTTCCTTCAAGGCTTAGCTTCCTTCAACTGACTATGATGTGAGGTATAAGCTAAATTAACCCTTTCCCTCACCAACTTGCTTTCAGTCAGTGTTTATCACAACAATAATAACACTTACTTGCAATGCCTCAGATATTTTGAAAAGGAATATAAATGTGATGTTTTCTTTACATGTTGTATAAAGAACCATTTTAAGAACTTCTCTATTACATTTGTTTTGTGTGTAGCACATCCAACACAAAACACACACATGAAGGTCAGAGACATCCTGCAAGAGCCAGTTCTCTCCTTCTACCACATGGGTTCTGGGATTCAAACTCAGGTTGGCAGGCTTGCTACCTTTATATAGAGCCTCTTGACACCCTTAATTTTAGAAAAGTGGAAGAGAAATTAAGTTCCAACAAGTTTACAAAAGTCAAATTTTAAAGAAAATCACATACATTATTATACAAATATACACTTCTAGACTCATCAATCCTAGAGCAAAATCAATCCAGGAAACTATTTCAATCCAGAGTTTTTATGCCTAGAATTCATTCTTTTGTTTACTCAATACTACAGAGCTGGTAGATATACAAGGTTCTTTATATATCCCTAAGATACCCTATCTGGAATGTAACAATACACAGATAAGTGTTTTGAACTTCATGTCATGCTTTGTTGATTCTCATGGAAGGCCTGCCCCTTTCCAAGGGAAGGAGGTAAATAAGAGGTAGGGAGGGGGAACAGGAGGAAAGGAGGGAGGGAAAACAGCTATGTAAAATAAATGATAAAAAAAAATATTAAAATAAAAAAAAAAGTTTTGAAGTTTAAAGTTCAATCTGACCATAATTGGGCAGACAGTCATATAAACTCCCATAAATTGTATAGCTGAAGTCTCATCAAAAGTAGCTGCACTGGTCAAAATTATAACTTGCTGCTAGCTAGGAGTAGTGGTGACATGTGCTTTATCCCAGCACTTGGGGGGAGGGGAGGGAATTGGCTGGCTACCAGGGGCCACCACTGAAGAGCAATGGCTATGACCTAGCATGACTAGCACATCACCAAACACACTAAGTTCATGTAGGACATGATTAGGAAGTATGTGGTGTTGCATCCAAGTAGTTTGCCACAGAGCTGCTCAGGACCTCTAAGGACAAGAGGGTGTTCAAATCTGTCAAAGTGTAAAGAACAAGTGTCTGGAATGTTCACCTCCAAATGGGACATGTCATACTCCACCCCTCAAGGATCAGCGAATAGGAAAGAAGAAGAGAGTAAACATCCACATTCATTCAAGAGGCAGCTAGAGGAACTGAGCAATATACCATCAGCCTTAAGGAAAGCTCCGCCCAAAGACTGGGCCTGCTCCACTAATTCCCTCCCCTCAATAAGCTTTTATAACACCGAAACAAATAAAGTAAGCACTTTGTATTTTTCAGGAAGCTTATATAACAAACTGCCTTCTAAATAGTTATTTTTTTATCTATAGGTTTTCAAGAGACTTTTTCCAATATCCTGCATCCCTTTATTTGGCCTACCCTCCCTGCTCCCCTCCCCATTTAAATCTACATCCTCTTATTCTCATTTCCCCTTTCATAACATATTCCTTTCAA